CCGAAGTGGCGGCGGAGCTCGAGGCGGGACGCGTGGCGGGGGAACTTGCGGCGCTGGAGGAGGAGGAGTCTGCCTGCAGGCGCGCGCTGGAGGTCGAGGCTGTTCGGGCGGCCGACGGCATTGCGCGGGCGCGGGGCCGCAGCGCCAGGGACGCCGCCGTGCGTGAGCGGCAGCGGCAACTTGCCGCGCAGGCCGAGTCGGCGGCGGCGACGCGGGCCCAGCTCCGGCGCGAGAGTCGCAGGATAGAGGAGGAGGAGGCGGGGCGGCGTGGCGCCATCGAGCAGGACGAGGACGAGGAACGTGCGGATCTGTTAGACGCGATGGATCGGGACGCCGAAGTGGCGGCGGAGCTCGAGGCGGGACGCGTGGTGTGTACTCCGAGCTCTTCAAAGACCACTTTGGTGTGCGTATCGACTTGGGTTTCTGGAGTTGCCTCCTCACGGGAGGAAGAGGCGTCACAGACACCGCAGGAGGTGCTTCCGGTGAAAGCGACGGGGACAGAAGGGGAGATGTGCATTGAGGGTGAGCCGATGGTGCGCGTGGAGTCCCTGGTGTTGTCGGATGGGCCGCAGTTGGCGGGCGATCTCCGACAGCAGCTTGGCCATGTCGGTCGGTCGTCGCCGACAGGCGGGTTGCGGGCGTTCGCTGCTGCTGAGGGGAAGTTTGTGGAGGCTGCGGAAGAGGCTGCAGGTGAAGTAGGCGGTGGGACCGTTGTGGCCGGCGGAGTTGCTTTCCCATGCTGCAGCCAGTCGGTGCAGACAGCGCTGCCGCGAAGCGTGGCCGTGCAGGTCTGGGACGCGCATTTAGAATCACGGCGCCCATGTAGGGCCTCGTCGCGCTCCCGGGCGAGTGGACTGTGGCAGGGCGGGGTGTTGTCGCCCCGTGAGCCTGGCAGTGGCCCATCGAAGAGCTCAAAGTGCACGGGGCCGTCGCCGTCGTCGCGAGCCTCGGTGGTGAGTAGGGAGGTGGAGGGAGACAAGGTGCGTGTCGCCGTCTCCGTTGAGGAACTTCCCTCGCTGGAGCTGGATTCACCGTGCTCACACGCGTCGGAGCGGCAGTGGTCGCCGTCTTTTTCTGTTACCTCCTTGACGTTGGCTGTCGCGCCGCCTGCAGCGCAGCGGCCGGGTGAAATGGGCTCGCTGCAGCCGGTGGACGCCTCCTGTAAAAGGGCGCCGCACCCGCCGAAGCAACTGGCACGCATTCGCCACGGCGGGCGTGCTGGGTCCTCCCTGGAGACGCCGCCGCGGCTGCAGCGCGACAGTTTGACAAGCGACGAGGAGCGGCGGACGCTCTGCCCGCACTGGGGCCTTGACAACTTTGAATTTGACTGGAGCAGCGGCCCGTCTCCATGCAGCACCGGCTTTCGGCGTCTTGTGCACGTGGAGACGCGGCACCGGCAGCATGTGGAGCGGCATGAGTTGCTTGCCCGCAACGAGGTGAGGTGGGAGGAGCTAAACCACTACCGTGCGTGGGCGCGGTGGCACGAGGCAAACAAAGACGCCAGCGAAGAGGAGGAAGGGGAAGAAACCGAAATTGATGGAGAAGAAGCGGCGGACGCGCACGGGCGGGTGTGGGGGGTTGCTGCCGCTGCCGCAGAGGACGGAAACGATGAAAAGGAGAACATTGCGCCCCGCACGGAGGTTCCGCAGCCTGCCGGTGCGGTGCAGCGGAGCCGATCCGCCGCGTGGTGCGTCGACATGACGGGCGGGTCGTCTGGCACCCCGCCGCACCTCCGCGATCGCCCGTGGGCGGCGATGCTCACGCGCCGGAACTCGCAGAGCGGCGGGAAGGGCGCGTCCGCCGTGGGGCGTCTCCCGCCGTCGACCCCGCAGGCCTGCCGCAGGACGCCCACCGACAGCTTCGGCACGGCTGGGACGCTGGTGCGGCGGGCCGCGGCAGGCGACACGCGCAGCTCCTCCCTGCAGCGAGCACCGGAGACTGTCTCGGGCAGGAGGTACGCCGAGTTTCCGGGCTACGCGCAGCGGTACGAGCAGCGGCTTCTGTGGCAGCAGCTCCAGCAGGAAGCCTCTGGGCCGCCGGCGCCGGAGCCTATTTACCGCCGGGCAACCGCCTCGTTCCTGGAGTCTGCGGAGTGGTGCTACCAGAAAATGTACGTCGACCGCCTTCTGTGCGCGGGACGGCGCGATGGAAGTGTGCGGAGGTGTGCGGACGTCGTTTGCGAAGAGGTGGGTCGAGCGCAGCTGACGTGGGAACTGCAACGGAGCTGATGTATCCTCTTGTATTTTCTCTCACACACACTCTCTATCCTCTTCTCCCCCACCCCACGCACACACACCCACACCTCGCTTGTTGTTGTTGTTGTTTATTGCCTCCACTGTTTTGACGCCCACGCACTGGCGGTGGTGTGGGGCGGTGGGGGGAGCGTGGGCCCTTGCCGGCAGCACCCTCGCCGTTGCTTTTGTCCAACTAGTAATGTATGCACACCTACATATATACATGTGTATAGCTCTCTTTCTCGCTCTCCACCTCTCTGTGTTTCATTCCATGGCCTGCAACGTGGTGAGAGCACAGGTGTGGAGAAGAAACAAGCCCAAGAGGCGCTATATGTTGTTCATGTTGTTTGCTGTTTCTTTTTCCTCTCTCTCTCTCTCTCTCTTGCTTCATACTTTGGGTGGATTCCTTTCCCCCGCCGAAGGTCTAAGAACATCGTCGTCGTTGTATATACATATATATACCTATATACACGCCGCAGTTAACCGCGTGACGCAACATGGGCCGACTGACGCCGGTGCTGGAGGGCGGCCGTGCCGCTGTTGGGGTTGAGGTCGAGGAGGCCCTCTTCGTCGCCGCTGCGGTGGTGGAGGGCGCAGACGCGGGATCTGAGGCCGAGGAATTTGACAGGGCGGAAAAACATGAGGCCTGTGGGTCTCCGCAGCCATTGCGGCAGCGGCAATCTGACTGGCAGGATGTCTGGGCGGCATTTGCCTTCCTCCTCACCGTCGGCGTGAGTGTGGCGTGGGGCGTGGTGTTTACGCTCGCCGGCGGACTCACCGGGAGCCTCCGGCAGTTCACCCTGCAGCTGGGGGAGGGCGTCTGCGGCGGCGCCGCACCGGCCCACGTCGTCGCTGGGGCGGCTCTGGGGATTTCGAGCGCCGGTGGCTGCGCGGTGGTGTCGGTGCTGCTCTTGCAGCGCGCACCGTTTGCCGCCATTGTGCTGAGCATCCTCCTCCTCTTCGTCGCGCTGCTGCTACTCTCGGCGATGGCCTTTCACCAGGCAGCCTCCCTCACCGGTGCCACGCTGGCGCTGCTGGCTGTGCTGCAGATCTGCTGGCTGTGCGCCGTACGGAGTCGCATCGCGTTCTCCGCCCACCTTCTCGCCGCCGCGTCTGCCGTCACACAGCAGTTTCCCGCCCTGTTTCTCATCCCCGCCCTGCTGACGGTTGCCTTCTGCGGGTACCTGCTCTGGGGTCTGCTGGTTTTGTACTCCGCCGCCAAACGCATGCAGTGCGGCGACTTTGCCTGGGCGGATGGCGTCTTTGCGGCGGTCTTCGCCTTTTCCCTCGCGTGGGTCGCAAACTTCCTCTCGGGTGTCTCGCGTGTCACCACGGCGGGGGTTGTGGGGACGTGGTACTTCGCCGGCAGCGAGCAAATGCCGCCGACGCCGACGTGGGCCTCGTTTGCGCGGGCCACGACGACCAGCTTTGGCTCCGTCTGCCTGGGTGCCCTGCTGAACACCGTGGTCCAATTGCTGGGCTGGGCGTGTCGCCTGGGCCTGGACTCCGGCAGCGAGTTCGTTGACTGCTGCATGGCCTGCGTGCAGAGCCTGCTTGGCGACTTTGTCGCCTACTGCAACTCTTACGCCTACGTGGAGGTGGGCATATACGGCTGCAGCTACGCGGCTGCCGCGAGGCGCACGTGGCGACTCGGCCAGAACTGCGCCTGCCCCGCCGCCTACAACGACGTCCTCGTGAGCGGCACGCTGCGGGTGTTGGCGGTTTGTCTCGCCGGCGTCGTAGCCGCCGCCGCCGCCGCCGCGTGCCCCGGGCGTTCCGCGACTGTGGGGTCTATTGTGTTTGTCACGGTTCTGCTCCCCCTCAACAGCCTGCTCCGCGTCGTCTCTGGGGTCGTGCGCACCCTTTTTGTCTGCTTTGCGGAGCTGCCGGACGGGCTCGCGGCGTCCTTCCCGGCCCTGCACGCGGCACTGATTGCCAGCGACGACAACTTCGCCGCAGTCCACGCCCACCAGCGCGGCGCCGTTCCGGTCTGAGGGCCCTGCGTGGGAAGGGCGAAGGCACAATCGACTGCCTTTGTGTATATCCATCAGTCATTTATTATATATACAGCTTCTCTCTGTTCGTCGGTGTTATTGTTTTGCTTTTTGCTTTTTGGCGGGCAACGATGGGAACGGCACCCGCCCGCTTGTTTCATTAATGAGTTTTTCTTTTTCCCCTGCCCTGCCTCTTTTTTTTTCTTTTCTTTGCTGCGAGTTCGTTTTGCTTCTTCGGTTGAGCTTGCTGCTGCCGCCCGGAGGTTCGCTGTTTGTTCGTTAGTTCTTGTTGCGTTGGCGCACGCCTTTTGTTGTGTGTGTGTGTGTGTGGGGGGCGGTCAACGCAAAAAAAGGGGGGGTACGGTGTAGAGCTGCTCGGGGGGTGTGGCAGGGGCGCGGAGCCGGAGGTGGTGGGGGAAGAAGAAAAGGAAAAAACGTGGCAGCGGCGACGCTGCACCTGCGCCGTCTTCCCCCGTCCCCTTCTCTTTCTTTCTTTGTTTGTTTGTTTGTTTCCCTCCCTCTCGCTCCGGGGCGCCAGGCCGCCTCCCGGGGCGGGGGGGCGAGGCGGGCGTGTTGCATGCCGCCCCTCTTCTTCCCTTCTTCCCTTCTTCCTGCCCGCGTGGGCGGAGCGGAGCAGCGAAGCGAGGCGGGGCGGGGCTGCGTTGAGGGCAAAAAGAAGAAGAGAAAAAAAACAC